CCTTGTCACCAGAATTGAGCCTTTGGCCGGCCTTTGGCTCGTATCGGAGGCCGAAGGCCGACCTTGCCACCAACTGTGACAATCGGAAAAGCCTTGCCTCCATGTGCAGAATTAAACAACTTGGCCCGCATCGGTTAGACCAGCGGTGTTTGGGTGGTTTCAGGGTGATGTCCGGGTGGTGCTCGGTAATGTTTTTCCAACCACCATCTGTGACAACCCTTGCCACCAGCATCTCAACAACTTGGGGCTGCGAAAGGGGTGCTTTTGTAGGCTCCCGTTCGACCAAACATGCGCACTTCATCGACCCTGGCCTCAAGCGTTAGGCTCCCAAGCAACTGCGGCCGTGGATGCTCCGGAGACGTGATTTTCTGCAGTGTGCTGGGCTGTTGGGATGTTTTTCTTCTGCAAAACCGCGAAGGTGTTTAAACAAAACACAAAATGTATCACTCACCTTTTCATACCTTAAACACAGATTCAAAACTAAGCTGTTTAAACCCCGAAATGCGTCCACCACTGTAGCACTCCCCTTGTCATACAGCCCCACTTGGCTCGCAGCCGCTTGGGACTTGCCTCGTGAGCCTCTTCCCTGCCCGAAAGGCACAGCTCGGCCCAGTGAAAGAGTGCCAGGGTTGCACCTTTGGCCGCCACAAGGCCATTCCAAGGAGTGAACGTGGAAGGATTTTCCTCAAGTCCCCCTTTGACTCATAGCCTAGTTTTCTACATGATTTGTTTGCTTCCGTTGTTTCCCTGACCAAAAGGCGTGGTGCGTTGAGGGGCGACTGTCGCAGACGACGGGTCGTTTTTTTAGCATTTTGTTGGCGACGGACCGGCCCCTTTGAGGGCAGTTTTCAGCCAGCGACGCGTTCAGCTCATTTCAGGCACGTTCATCGACAGGTTCGATACATAATGTCCACCTGGGATTAGTAAACGGGGATTCCCCAACGATGGGGGCACCTGGAATACTATCTTGAGATCCAGTTCAACTGAGTTTCCATTTGAGTTGGTATTGGTAGACTTGAGTTTCTATTTAATTTAGTGTTGCTGGAGCTTCTTTTGGAGACTTGGAACTGAATTTCCACTTGATTTAGTGTTGCTGGAGTTTCGTTTTGAGATTTGGAACTGAGTTTCAATGTTCATTTAGTTTTGCTGGAGGGTATTTTTGACATTTGGAACTGAGTTTCAATTCGTTTTAGTATTGAAGGCGTTTATTTTTGAAGTTTGAAATTGAGTTTCAGATTGCTTTAGTATTAATACAGTGTTGCTGGAGCTTCCTTTTGTTATTTTTCTGGGGCCAGGCAACACGATAATATTCCAGGGGCCCTTGAAATAATGTCGACGTGGGGGCCTGCAGTACTACCCCCTTTGCGGTTCGATTGCGGGCTGCGGTTTGGGAAAGCTGACCATTTTCAATTCGAGCAGCAGGCCCAAATCTAACAAGGCCTGAATCGTCAGCATCACCTGGGCTGTCTAGTTTTTAATTAGTTGCTTAAGTGGCAGTTACACTGGGCAGGTTGTATTTTTTCGGGGGGGGGGGGGGCAGGCAACAAGACTTTCTTTGGAGCTGCAGTACTACCCCCTTTCCGGGTTTAATTGCGGAATGCTTTTTAACTTTTAAACAAGAGACGTGTAGGAAAACATGGGTTTGGGAAAGCTGGAAATGTTTGTCTTTGGGGAGCTGAAGAACAACAATGTTATAAAGATCCAAGGGCCAGGTGTTGGCTTGGCTGCCTCTCCTCTTCTTTCTCTCCTCCAGTTTTTCGTCCTAAAATGGTTCATTGTTTTTTCAGAAAATATGGGCAGGGGTGGCGGGTGCTTGTCTTTATTCCAGGTGCATTTGCTAATCTTTTTGGGCAACCCGTTTGTCTTTATTCCGTGCATTTACTAATCCTGGGTGGACATTAAGACAATTTCTCGTGAAGGCTCCACCAGAAGCTTGTCGCCTTGGGGTTTTTGTGTGAATGACCTCATGCGGAACAAGATTGTGGCAATGAATGCGACGTATCCTAGGGGAAGACCAAACGAAAAACAGCAATCTTCAATTGTGCGGGGATGCCACATCTTCGGCAGCCATGGGCTGAAAAGAGAGAAGCGCCCCCAAATATCAACGATCTCTGTCAAGTATAATGCGACTGGAGTGGTTTTTTAATTCAGAAGGATTGGTTTGGGCCTCCAACTGAAGCCCGGACAAGCCTTCCCAATTTTTTTAGCTTCGTTGGAAGCCGCCACGGCATGTGAAGGAGAGCATAGCGGCGGCGGCGGCGAATTAGCGGACAGCTCTTGCCGTTCTGGCAAATTCTCAGGCACGCGGTCCCCAACCCCCCTTAGCCAGGCAAAAAGGGATACCTCGAATCAAGAGCGATTTGCCAATGAGTGTGTGGCCGGGGCCTTCTTAAAAAATCCCGTCCTTGGGATATGCGGCATGCCCACGAGATCGTGTCGCGATCGACCACTCCGAGTTCCAAGCTTGGGCGGCTCTGCATGTTGCGCCTGCGCGCAGCGAATCCAGAGAAAGGCACTTTGATGGCAGACTAGCCGTTGACAAATATGAAGTTGAGCAGCGCCAAAAACATGTGCGCCCGGCCCCAACGTGGCCGATAGGGACTTAACCAGTTGCAAGCTACGGTCTTTGAGCGCTGCTCAACAGTGCCCAGCCCGAGAGAGAGGTCACGCGTCACCCGGCTCGTTGAGCTGAAAAAGGTGCTTGTTGCTTGGTGGCACGCCCAGTTATTCAATAGATCCCACCCTTGTGCCCTCTGAACAGCCAGCCCAAAAAGGGTGCGCGTGTTTACGCCCCGCTGTTATTGTTTGAGTGTGCGTGTGGCCGTTCGTTGCTTTGAGGCAAAATAAATGTTAGGGTTGAAAAAAGGGTTTAGGTGAAAAAGAAATGTGCCAAGGTTGAAAAGGGTTCCCCTTAGAATGGTGGCGGTAGTGTCGGTAGGTTAGTGAGTCCCATGCCCCTCTCAGACTGGACCTCCAAAACCTGAATGAAGATGGATCACGAAGCAAGGAACCGGGTTCTGGCTCGTTTTAATGGTTAAGTATGCTCACTGAACCTTGTTTGCCCCTCACAAAATAGCCCCACCAAAAGGAAAACTCAATGGCAGTTGGTGCCACTCGATCAGTTTCGCCCCATGGATGGATATTTGACGGAACATCCACGAATCACTTGCTTCCAGGAGGGAGGGGGTTTCTCAACTTTTGGAGTAGGTGCACCACCCATTACTTTAGTCTAGGGATGTTCACTAAGGGTACGGGATTTTGACCCATGGCCACATGTTGACCTGCTTGCGCACGCAAGTCTGTATTGCAGTTGGAACTCGCTTTGCTTGTGTTGAGCTCTTGTTGAAGTCATCGTATTTAAATCTTAGCTGATTTGTAGAGCGCATGCTATTGAAACGGGCATCCTGTGTGAAGTTCAGCTTGAAACGAATACATTTGTTCAATTCGAATGTGAATACCAGTTCTGGTGTGGTTGTTTCGTTTGTTTAATCGGTGTAAGTTCAGCTAGAAGTTGAGTAGCATTTGATAAATAATGATAAATAGATGAAGCATACAATGATCAGCAATAGGGTTTCTGAGGTTCTATGTGAATTCAGTTAACACACATTGAGAACAATTTGAGAGAGAGAGAGAGAGAGTCGGTACTTTTCACAAGGAAATAATTCAGAGGTTTCAAAATCCAGTGTTACCTAGCCCCCAACACTACCATGGTCAGAAAGCACTGTGAACCACAGTGTTTTGTTGTAATTCACGTCTTCACCGATGGCCGCTCCATAAAATCCACGTAGAATTTGAATAGAGCCTGATGGGACTCAACACGAAAATGCTTCTTCCGAATCCTTTTGCGGAATCCTTTTAACATCACATCTGAAATTTTGGAATTCACATAGAACTCGTTGCCCAAAAAGAGCTTTAAGGCTTTGCAATTGAATGAGAGTTTCAATAGAGTTTGATAAGGACAGAACACAATCCGAGTTTCCAAATTAGAATTTTAAATGCGATAGGTGTCCATTTCAATTAAGACTTTATTTGCACAACATTTTTGTTGCCAACCGAATGTCTCTTCACATCAGTAATGCTTAAACAGTTTATTCAAGCAGAGTTCAACTCAAAGTCTCCTTTTAACTGCATCTTTTAATATGATTTCCTTTCCATAAATCCAAATCCACTGGATCAGCTACCAGAAAACAAAATCCAAAACAACCTCGAGAAAACACAACGACAAGAACAATCCAAACCAAAAAGCTAAACAACTACAACATACTACAACCAACCAACCAGCTTTGACAAGGCACTTATGCAGAGCACTTTCGAAGAACAACTTGCAAAGAATATCTTGCAAGCAGAATTTGCGCGCGGCAACTTGCAACAAGCAACGTGCGCAGAGCACTCGCAGAGCTCGACGCGCTCACTGCGCGGAGCAACTTGCGCAGATCACAAGTCCACAGACAGTGCAACAACTTGCGCGAAGCACCTTGCGCAGGGCGCTCGGAAAGAGCTACCTTATCTGCGGCGGGGCTGCTTCGTGAGGGGCTGTCTCTGCATTGCCGTGAGGGTTAAACACGTTGGCTACTATTTGTTGGAAAAAATGCTTTTCATCCCTCGTCTCTAGTTTAGGAGCAGCTTACGATGTAGGTGGACGTTAAACCCTTTTCAAGGAAACTGTTTGCTCACGTCTGTGAGGGTTGGGGGGCACGTGGCACGACCGGGTTTCCCCTACGCCAGCCCAACTTTCTGACCCGCAAAGTTGCTGGAATTTGACCAACATTTACCGCTGTTGTTGAGCCGCACTTGTTGACGCAACCTCAAAATAGCTGAACTTGTGACCAGCGTTTGCGCCCGTCACAGGGCTCATCTTGGGTATGTTCAGACGGGGGGAAGGGGCGAAATTTTCCTATTGGTTTCCTTCCCTTTGCACCCCCTTGATGCCATGCGCCGGACCGCGCAGCATTTGTTTTTGAGACACGCGGGTGCGGACCGGACCGTGCACCTGGACGCCCATGAGCGGCAGCTCGGCGCATGGGAGTTCGAATTCTACCTTTTTCGTCAACCACTTTTCCGAAGGGTGACCTTTGTGAGGTTCGTTGGGGGGGCCCGTTCCAATCATTTCCAGGCACGGACGGATTATTACCTCTGTATGATTGTTGTTTGTTGTTTTGTTTGTTTTTGGGAAGGGGTCTTGTTTGAAGGGGGCCACGTTTGGGGTTGTTCACGAAAGGTAGCGATGGCTGGCCTGGAGTTTTTTCTTGCTTTAGAAAGTGTAGGGGCAGCAACTTCCCGACCGGTGTGATATACCAATGGAGGGGTATGTTTTTAGTGTTTCTCGTTTTTTTGGATGTTGTTTCGCTTTTGGCTTCTTGGCTTCTTGAAGTTTCGGCTTCTTGTTGGTTTGTGCTGCTTTTGGTGGCTTTTTAGCTGTGGCTTTTCGCATCCTCTGCATTCCCAGTTCCTCTCCGGCAGGTGGCGTTTTGGCTTTTGCGGCTTTTCGCTCGTTTATGTGTCTTTTGTAGCTTTGGCTTTTTTGCCCTTCACTGGTTTTTGGCTTTAGCTCCCCGCATTCTCAGCATTGCCAGTTCCTCTGCGGCAAGTGTTCTTTATATACTTTAGAGCCTCCGGCTCAGTCCGCCAATATTGTGAAAGAGAGAGACTAGGTCCTCCAGTAGAGGTTACAATAAGGGCACCCTTCTTCTGTAGAGAGGACAGGAAGGAGACAGGGAGACAGAAAGAGAAGGAGAAACAGAGAGAGAGAGAGAGAGAGAGAGAGAGAGAGAGAGAGCGAGAGCGAGAGAGAGTGAGAGAGAGAGAGAGAGAGAGAAAGAGAGACAGAGAGAGACAGAGAGAGACAGAGAGAGACAGAGAGAGACAGAGAGAGGGAGAGAGAGGGAGAGAGAAGGAGATTGAGGAGAGAGAGGATGGGCTCTTTCTCTGACTGGCTCTGTCTCTGTCTCTCTCTTTCTCTCTCTCTCTCTCTCTCTCTCTCTCTTTCTCACTCTCTCTCTCTCTCTCTGCATTGCAGCGCCAGAGTTGCCCCAATGTCCGGGTACTGCCCCTTCATGACCCTGAATTGTCTGCTTACTACTGGCCTTCCCTTTCATTTCCCCTTCATTTCGTTTTCACGTTTCGCATGATGTTCTGCTTATGTCCCTTCCATTCCTTTCAACTCCCTCTTGATTCATGTCCCTGTCATTTTCTCGGTATGTCTGCTTCATTTTTCATGTATGTCCCGTTCTTTCGTTGCCAGTCATTTCCCTACGTATCCCGTCGTGTCGATTGGTTTCCTTGTCCTCTTTTCCCTTTCATTCCGCCTGCGCCCCCCTTGTTTTTATTTCTGTCCCTTTCATGTCCTTTCAGTTCCCCTTTCTTTCCCTGTCATTTGCCCTTGCTTTCCTGCCATGTCGAATTCCTGGTTCCTTCCCTCATTCCCTTGCACATCCTTGCACGTCCCCTTTGCTCCCCAGTATTTCCCTGCAAAAGACACTTTTTTCCAGCGTTTTCGCAAACAGGAGGTCAAAAAACAAAGAGTGTTTCCCGATTTTCGGCAAAAGGAGGCAGGAAACCAGCAAAGAGCCGGCAGGGAGATTCGAGCCTGGGAATTACTGCGCGGTACGCGGGGGAGCCCCCCCCTTCCCCGCTTTCCAACGTGTAAACCCTACGTGTATGTATGTCTGTATGAAATCGCAACTGTTGATTAAATAGGGGTCGCCACGGGTCCTGTCCCTCAAGGCGGGGTATAGCTTAGTCTCATCAACACTAATTTATGTTTTCTGTTCTTGGATTGACTAAATGATGGATGTCAAGGCACATACCTACTTCTCATAAACAGTGTTCTACGGAAGGTGCCGCAAGGGCTCGTGATGCGGGTGTGTACGTTTCAGGCTTCTGGCGTCGGTTTTCAATGGAGGACCGCCTTTCAGGAATCGTATGCTTGCGAGGCGCAGGGCGGGAAAGCTAGGTTAGTGAACGCCGCTAATTTTATGTGGCTATATCCCGCCCTACCAACCCCGTTAACACATATCATGCTTTGTGAACAAGCCTAAAGGGCAGGAGAACCTGCACGAGTTCACGCACTTCACCAAGATGGAACTGATGGAACCCACAAAGCGACTTGTAGAGGAAGCATCTTTTTTGAGGGCCCTGTCTTGTGGACTCGCAAGGAACCACGCACCCACACTTGCACGCAGAATGCTGCCGCCAACCTCAGTGAAATCGTTCCACAAATGTGTGGGGCTTGCTTGCCAAACTGCGGGGTGCTATGCTGGCGCGGCCACCCTTTCGTTTTGATTGATGATGCCCCTTTGCCCCCAAAACCCCCCTGTGACGGGCCCCTTTACACTGGAATCGTATGGATGAGGAGCCCTTGTGCCCCGATGCTTTACACCAAGGTCGTCCCACCCCGATTTTTGAGCGGGCACGCTCTTCGTCTGCGGAGGCCACGCGTGGCCATATGGGACTGGCGCCCCTTTATGTGACCTTATTCTAAAGGAAAACCAAAGGAAACCACAAAAAAGCACACCCGTGTGGGGGCTTTTCAATATTGTGGGGAGCCCTTTGATTGGCTGGTTTCCGCTTGTCCCCGTACCAAATAGCCATGGCAAAGGGGCCAGGTCTGGAAGAGGCCAGATTTGAAGAGTGGTCAGCGTGGATTCTTTGCTGCAAACGTGGGCGTCTCATAAAAGGCCTGCTCTTCAGTGGGCGAAGGGAAGTCAAAACCGTTGTTTTCGAAGGTTCCTTTGAGTTGCATCCGGACGCTGCAGGGGGCATTCTCAGAATGCCGGTCATCCCGGACGTGACTTGGCGGATGTGGCTTTCAACAAACAACCCGAAGAAAGACAGACCGATTCTGGATCAGGTTGCAGGAAGTCGAGGTGCAGTTCCAGCTGGTGGTGAAGGGCACCTTCCTCGAGTTCGTGGCGGCGGGGTTTTTTAATGCAAGCAAAAGTCGTTTTTCCAGCGTTTTCAGGAAGTGACGTTATTTTTTCAAGGTTGGCTGGTGCTACTGCTGTTGCTACTGCTACTGCAGTTGCTACTGCTACTGCTACTGCTACTGCTACTGCTACTGCTACTGCTACTGCTACTGCTACTGCTATCGCTACTGCTTGTCAGAACTAACTACTAACTATTGGCTACTTACTACTTACTACAGATTACTGCTACTACCACTACTATTACTGTTACTACTACTACTACTACTACTACTACTACTACTACTACTACTACTACTACTACTACTACTACTACTACGACTACTACTACAACTATTACTAATACTACTGCTGCTGCTGCTGCTACAACTTCTACTTCTACTACTACTCCTGCTACTGTCAGCCACAGCCGGGGCGGAAGTTTCAAACTACAAGTTCGTCTTCTTTCCCTCGTGTCTGTCTCTCTGTCTCCCTTGTCTCCCTCTTTCTCTCATCTTTCCCTCTTTATCGTTATCTCTTTCTCTCTGTATATTTTTGTTCTCTCTTTCTCTTTTTTGTATCTTTCTGGTGTTGTTGCTCGCTCTCTCCCTCTCTTCTCTCCCTCTCTCTCTCTGTTTCTCTTTCCCGTTATCTTTTTTTTCTTTCTTTCTTTCTTTCTTTCTCTCTCTCTCTCTCGCTCTCTTTTTCTGGCAGTCTTTCTCTTCTCTTTCTCTTTCTGTTTAGCTCTCTCTCTCTCTCTCTCTCCCCTTCCCGTTGTCTTTCTCTTGTTTCCTCTTTCTCTTTTGTCTTCCCCTTTTTTGTTCTTCTGTTTCTCTTTCCCTTCCACTTTTTGTTTCCCTTTCCCTTTCTCGTGCTCTCCTTCTCTGTTTCTCTCTTTCGCTTCCTCGTTCTTTCTCTTTCTCGTTCTCCTTCTGGTTCTCATTGTCTTTCTTGTCTCTTTCTCTCTCTCTCTCGCTTTCTCTCTATTTCTCCTTATTATTCACTCCCATCCCTCTCTCTCTCTCTCTCTCTCTCTCTCTCTCTCTCTCTCTCTCTCTCGCTCTCTCTCTCTCTCTCTCTCTCTCTTTCTTTCTCTTTGTGTTGTCTGTTGCTGTTTTCTCCTTCGCGCTTTCCCCGAAAGCATTGCGAAGGGTTCTTCCAGTAGAAGCGTTATACTGGGCGAAGTGGAAGCCGTCGACTGCCAGGCAAAGGGCAAAACGGCACGCTGCAAAAGCGCCCCTGCGTCAACGCGAGGCGCGGTGTTCACATCGCGAGCGAGTTTCGTGAGGATGACGAAGGGTAACGACAATAATCAAACAGGGTCCATTTGCGGTGTCTTTGTTTTGTGTGTGTGTGGCTTCAAAGGGAAAGAAAAGGAAACTGTCCCCCTATTTTTGCACGCACCCTCATTGCCCCAATCCCGGGATGGGAGGGGTGGAAGTCTCAACAGGGCAGCAGTCTTCCAACGCTTAACGTAGTCGAGTTCACCAACGACTCAAAAAAGGCGTCGATTAGGTAATGGATGGCAATGGGTTAGGTGAAGGGGTGGCCAACGCAGTCAAGGACGAAGGGCCTGGAAAAACCCTCTTAGGATCACATGCCTGGCACAGCCTAAGCAGCGGGCGCCCCGCATCCCTGAAACATCCCCACCCACCAAACACCAATCATTCCAATTATTGGGGCATCGGTTCTTCCGTTGGACTGTGTAACCGTCATTTCCGGGACTTGGTTCTGCCGGTCGCGCCAGGGAGCGTGGCAGGTAGCAAACTGATTCTGACGATTGCAGACAACCGGGTGCTAATCTCATCCGATTTGTGAACACGTGTGTTGGAACCACTAGGGGTCCAATTGCCTCAGCCTTCGCCTTGCTGGCTTGCGTCGCGAGGAGGTACATCCTCCCTTGGGTCCCTTCAACACAACGCAGGGTGCAAGCCGTGCGCCTGGCACCTCGGCTTGGAACCAGTGCAATTTACGAGTGCAAGAGACACTGCAGAGCCGCTTGCGCAGAGCACTGTGCGCTGAGCCATCGGCGCAGAGCAACTTGCATAGCGCCATGGCGCAGGCAGCTTGCAACATGATTGCACAGCTCATGGCTTGCCTTGATCATCACACTCTGAATAGTAATTCAATAATGTTGGACACCACCCCCGCCCCTCGCTAGGCGTGGAACAAGTCAGCTGAGGGGCCACTTCAAAAAATCCTTGTGTTTGCCCAGATTTGTTTGCCTGTTTTGTTGGTCGGCTTCTTTGCCAAGTTTGTTTGGCCCAGGTTTTTTGGACTAAGCCTGAGCCCAGACAAGATCAGGGAAGTAACATAACATTGTGTGAGACTTTTTCGGGTGGAAAACATGCTGCAATTGAGGGCACCAAAGCAGCCACAACATCCTGAATTGCGAAAAAGAATTGCTATACTAGAAGGAGATCTTGGTAAAGGAGGTGTAGCATTAAGTTAAATTGATCAAATATGTTTGGTTACATGGTTGGCCATACCTTTGCACTGGTTGTAGGTTCAGGCACACGTGCAGCAGAGTCATCTGACTGCTTGCTCGACTTGTTTTGGTGTTTCCTGACTTGTTTTGGTGTTGTGGAAGCCCCTGGCAGACTTGGAGTCGGATGCGCCGTTGCCACCCCCCCCCCCCCTCCAACAAGAGGGCGCGGGAGGCACCGCCGCCGGCGTTGCCAAGGGCGGGGGCTGTGCAAAGACCACAGCGCGTTCCTGCTGGATTTGAAAGATTCTTCAGACTCGCAATCTTGCCCTTGTTTTTGGCCGGCTGCCGGCGACTCTGCGTTGTGATTTGCAGCTGGCGCCTATGTTGCTCCATTTGTGCAAACAAACATGCGCTGGAATGCGCTGGAGAGCGGGCAGCCTGTGGCGAGCTTGGTGGAAGGGGCTAAATTGGACAGGCCTGCAGCGAGTCATGGGGTTGCTGAAGCAGTTGGGAGATGCTTTGCGGAACTCGCTGGTGCAAGAAGCGCAGTTGGACATGGGATAAAGCGTGCGTTAAGGAGGCAATTCCGCGGCTTGAGGAGGCGGCGGGCAACGGCAATTTTTAGGCGCTGCCTTGTTTTGCACGCAGGGTGAACAGCGGAAGAGGCTTGCGGGTATTCTTTACACTCCTGTAAATCCACAATGCTGGCCTGGGCCGCCAAATTGCATCGAGCCGGTTTTGCGAGCAGGTCAGGGTGCCTCATCAGACTTGTGATGATGTTGGCCCTCAGCTTAGGTGCCAAAAGCTGATTCTGCGGGAGGTGCGGACAGGGTTTGTCTGAGTGCAAATTGGGTGCAGACTTTTGTGCGGCTGCCACTGCCACTCTCAGACGAAGGCTTGTTTGATGGGGTGACTGAGACGGAGCGGAGGCTGGAGAAGGAGAGCGGGGATGCAGCGTTCCAGCAGAAATTCAGTGAGGCAAGCCGACGACGGGTGCTTGACCATACAGTTGCACTGGTTGTAGGTTTAGGTACGTGTGCAGCAATGTCATCTGACTGCTTGCTCAACTTGCGTTTTCCCACCCACCCGCGCGACTAAGTGGGGATGGCGGGGCTGTTGTCCGCGGGCCTGTGGGCCTTGTGGGTTTAACTATTACAGCTATTGTCTCCGAAGCAAAAAGGCCGTGCTGTGTTATAGGTTAACCTGGAGAGAAAATTTTGCAAGTTGCGCTGCGCGCCTTACGCAAGGCGCTTGCGCAGAGCACTTACGAAGGACAACTTGCATACAGCAACATGTGCAAAGCAGAGATCGGCGCGCAGACGTCGCAGAGAACAAGTGCGCAGACAGTGCCGCAACCGCAAAGCAACCTCGCGCACAGAGCAACTACGCAAAGCTGTTCGCGCGTACCAACTTGCAGGCAGCATTTCGCAGCGCGACGCTGCACGGGCTACTTGCAAAGCTGACCGGGGGCGAAACAAAACATGGCGGCAACATTCTTTCGAGTTAATCGTCCAGTGCTTGGTTCTGTGAACTCAAAGAAGGTCACTTTTGCGCTCGCAGGTTAACAGCCCGAAGCTTCCAGGGTAGGCGTAGAGTGGTGGCGGAGGCGAAGCTTAGGCCGTGACATCAGTCACGCATGAAGCCATTGCATTGCGAGGGTTCTTGCAAATGACTTGTTTTGAGGCGGTGGCTCCTGGCTCCCTTTAAGCCATACAAAGCTTGAGCCATGTGAACTTAACGCCCTAGGTACTGGAAACCCGGGGGCTGCCGCAATGGAAGCAACTGCCACCACTGCCACCTTTGCCCTCAAGGCACCAGGGCGTTTGCGTCATAGTCAGAGCTCCAGCTGGGAACCCGCAGGGTTTTTGAGACCTACAAGTTGTTTGTGGCCCAGGCAAAGACACATGTTTCGATCGAAGAACCGTTTTTTGGCGGGGAAATGTTGGTCCAAGCAGGGACCTACTGAACTTAACAAGGGAGCGCCGCAAAGGGCGCTGTCATCCGATGCCAAATTTCCTAACTGTTTACCATTGTCCCGTTTGCGCTTGTCCGTTTGCCAGCCCCATCAAGCATAAGGATACTATAAGGAAAAAAATGCGAGGGGTACTGCGAAGCCAAGTGGTGCGAGGGGTACTGCGAAGCCAAGTCAAGTTATGAAGACCCCAACAAAGAGGGTGCCTTCTCTGTGCTATCCAAGCTATCCCAAGACGTCCATGGGACGATTTTGCGTTTAGCCCAAGGATGAAGCTGAGGCGCTTTCCCTTCAACTTCAATGCATCCCCATCCCGGCAATCCGGGCGGCCGTCGTCAAGCTGAAGTTTCATCGCTTTTGCTGCGCAGGCGAGCTGACGCGACAGAGGAAGATGCATCGACGCATGGCAAGGCAGAGGACCGGCTATGTCAGGGGTCCTACGCGCCCAACCTCTGCTTTTTGGCGGAGGTCTGTGCTGTTTTTCGGTGAATTTGCCTTTATGAGGGCTTCAGCAGAATATGCCCACATTGTTGCGAGGGTGATTAAAGCTTCCAAGTCCTCCAGCACCTGTTGAGTTGGACATTCAATCAAGACACACCCTCAGAAGGGTCTTTATTATTGACTGTCCGGAATGTTGGCTGTCAAGTGTACCCTGCAGCGCATCCCTTCAACTTGCGGCTTTGCTCAGGATGGAGTTGCGAACCCACGACGCGTCTTCACAAAGGTCACTCTTCACGTTGACTATCGTCCAGGCTTCTCGGGCAGCGTTTTTCATCCTTGCTGAAGCCAGCAAAAAAAATAAGCCATTGTTGCTCGAGCCCTCCCCGCAGCAATGGCGGGCTGTGCCAATTCGGGCACTCCCGCCGCGTCAGCTACCTTCAGGACCCGCTACCCTGTACTCTCGTGTCGCTTTTGCTGCATGCGATAACCGAAGCCTCCTTCCTCTTTGGATTCTGCTTTGCCGGGGCTCGTTCCTTGATCATCGGCAACAACTTCCTACAAAGTAAGACTTGAGCCACGGGTTGAGCTCCCTCTTTGGGGGCTTGGTGGCTCTCACTGTGAACACACACAGGCTCCTCAGCTGCATAGTGTCAGCCACCGATTGGGCCCATGTCGGAAAAATGAGCCCTGCCAGTAACATGTCCTTTCGACCAGCCTTGTCATGCCAACTGATCTGAAATGAATCCTTTTAAGCTGTGAAGTGGTCACGATCTGGAAGGCTTGTGTCCGTCTCAGTTCACGGCTCTTGCTGTCACGGTGGAATTCGCGCTCCAATTGCCACAGCGTGCTGTGCAGTTTCCGCAGCAAGCCGTTTGCTACCAGGTACCGCCGTTAAGCTCTCCTAAAATCAAAACGGTCGTCTGCATCCATTTTTGTTGGATCATTGCCATCAAGCTTCCAATCGGAGCGCCGGATTTCCGAGTCAAGCCCGCCATATGTCCCAGTTCCAGTTTCCGCCTCCAGCGCTCCAAGTTTCTGAGGCCAAGTTTCCGAGTTCGCGCTCGCGGTTTCCAAATCCCAGCTTCCGCGCTTCAAGTTTCCGCGTGCAGAACTGCTGGGTTGCCGAAAGCATCTGGGGAAAATGGTGATCTAAGTGCCACAGGCTGCAAAGGACATGGGTGCAGGTTGCTTTGCGGAATGCCTTCTGCAAAGTGTTTTTCCAGGCTCCGGCTATCTTTTGGGCGCAAGTAGGGGCTGTGCAACTTAAACAGCTGTGATGCCTGGAACAATGTGAATCATGGAAGGGTCGCGCGCTGTGGCTTGTGCTTGGCTGCCTGCAAACACACCCAAACGTCCGGTAAACTTTGCATGGATCATAGTAACCGATGCCCTGACTGGCAAAACTACTTCTGCTTGCTGCATGTTTTGAGTCAGAAATTGCCTCAAGATCTAATCCAGCATTAGTTTCTAGTCTTGCGAACATCAATCCCAAGGAAATTATGTTTGTTTTGAATAAATCTTCCCTCTGAAAACACATTGCTGCCACTGCAAGTTTGGTTTGCGCCTCTTGTTTTTTTGATTGCGCAAGCAGTAAAAGAAGACATCTGCCAGAAGTGCTGACCAATTGGCTAAGGGCTAGCTGGCCACTTGGCTTAGCTGGTGCTCAAAGGCCATCTTAAGCGCAAAAGTACTTTGGCAATCGCTCAGGCAAGGGCAATCTTGTAGTTGGCCACTAAGTTCTGAAGATGTGACGCGTTTCCATATTTGCGGCACGCAGTGCGTTCCCCACGTCACTTTCCTTTTTCAAGCACGAGTGACAGCCTATCTGATCACCTCTAACAGGAGAGGGGGAAGCGCCCGGGAACCAACCAACCCAGTTTCAACGGGCAATTGCTCCGCTGTCTCTTGGCATTCCCACCATTGTTGCTCTTTCCTGGACATCAAAGGTGGGATCTGGAATCCGCAAACAGGGGCCCGCCAAGCCACTGCTGCACCAAATCCCATCTAGCCGGCAGAGCCGCTGGAGGAGGAAAGCGATGGCCCTTTCTTCGCCGTTCCCGCAACACACAAGGTCACGACATGAAGTGAGTCCACGCGAAGCATCAGCATCGCGGTGCACGCGTGCCCCTCCCCTCGAGGAAGGGTGTTTTGGCCTTTACCCTTCTTGGAACAGTACGTCGTTTTCCCCCAAATTGGCCCGCTTATACTGAGCAAACCTCACATGGCCTTGACTGTTCTTGGCAAGTCTTTGTTTTTTTTGCTTCTTTGCTTCTGCTCGGTTTTTGTTGGAGGGGGGTTCTGTGAGCGTAGGGGACGAGTGGCATCCTTAGCGGTTTTTTGTGTTTTGCCTCCTTCTCTGCTAGAATGAATGGTTCTGACAACCCTTTGGTCAGAACTCTTGAGCAGCTTCCTGCCGAACTTGGATTTATGGCTTCCGTGTCCCCTCCTATGCAATGGAAGTTTCCTCTAAGCCCCAGACGTCCCCACGGTCCGCCAGGAGACAAGACCAAGGAACCACGCAATCGCCACACAAGCCGGGTCTCCTTCGTGCCCAGGCGATTTTGAACCGGGGGGGGTGCGTTGGTCAGCTTTTGTAGAGTTAAAGCGGGCCATTGAAGCACCACCCCAAACAAAATTGGGATACTACGAAATCCAACAATATATACATATATATATAGCTTTCCTTGAAGTTGTTGCATTTTGAAGGTTCTTGGCTTTTCTCTTGGGTGGGTTTCCTTGAGACCACCATTAGGGTATGAAAAATACATAAGCAACTAGCTGGGATCCCCTTTCAGGGACTCGCTCGGCAAGAGGTAGCCCCAGAAGCTTGATCCAAGATTTTGGCCCCATGGCTGGTGCTCGGGGTCCCATGAAGCGACGGCCAGTGGGATGTTTCGAACATATTAATTATATATTCATATATACATAGATATGTGCATTTGCAGGCTCACTAAATGGGAGGGCAATTTACGGAACAGAAGCCTGTACATATTCATGAAATACGGACCAGAATTCAACACATGTGTTCATTTTTGTAATGGGGGGCAATTTACTTGTCAATCCAAGAAGTGTCCACGTTGAGACCATTGGAGCATGCCAGGATCGAACATAAAGATTCATCTACGGAAGCTCACTTTGTTGGTAAACAATCTGCCTGGACCTTTCTGACCACTCCACGCAGGTTTTGGGAAAAACGGGTACCTTAGGCAATACCTTGCTTGGCATGATTGTGTGTGAGCCATCTACTTTACTGGTCAGTTTCCCTCATGGAGATGCGAACCCCCCAGTTTGAAATTTCCCCCCTCCCACCCCCGTCGTTGTTGCGCAACGGGCTCACTCAGTGAGGCTCTGGACGTCATGCTTGTGTGGGAAGAACGCTTTAGTGCCGCAAATAAACTGTTTTTATTTTTGGCCAAGCCACTCACGAACGCTTGAAACGAATTTACATTGCTTATCTCGCAATTAAATAAAGCTTGGTGCAAGCTTTTTCAGGTATGGGCATTGGAGGTATGAATGCTATGTAAGCTTGTGAGTGTATGTACCCCTTACACAAGTGGTATATAACCTCCATACCTCTAAAGCAACGTTTTTTAAAAGGCAGGCATTTCGGAGCGAACTGTGCACCATCTAGATCTTCCTGGTATGGTGGTTATTTTCATGGTGCATAGGCCTGCATACCTTCGAACAAGTTTCCTGGAAATGCGGGTTTTGTTGGGCACATGGTGGGGAACGAAAACGGTGGAAATTCGAAAAGCAGGGTCCCGCTCGCACGAACGCACTCGGATTTGAGCCAGGATGGGTCCGAATTTACAATTTTGTGACAAGAGCCTGTCAACTGGGCCAAGTTTAGATGCCAGCTCGGCGAATTTCTAGGCTCCTTTTGGCCCAACAGCTCTACAATGTAGCTTGCAGAGACGACCTGTTGGATGCCCTAAGTGGGTGATTCGAAACCCTGCGAATCTCCATCTCTTGATCTACGTTAAATATGTATGCATGCGGATGGTGCTGCTTATAGTATTTCAGGGCCAATGCAATCAAGCAGGGCTTGATGAAATTATTGTGGGTGGTTGGGACCTTGCATCAGTTTTCGACGCGGCAAATGCCAGCACATTTGCTTTTCGATGGCTTGCGCTGCATGTTGCAGGTGCAAGATTTCATCCACCCACAGTAAAACCAGCGAGCATTGGCCAAAGGGATGCATCGGTGGCAATCGGACAAGCCCTTGTCACCACAATTCAGCCGCCGGAGGCAAGTGGACTTGTCACCAACTGTGGCAATCGGTCCTTGGCTCCAGAAAAGCTGAGCTCGCATCAGCTGTAATGGGACAAGCATTGTTTGGTGATGTCCCGGTTGTGTTTTGAGTGTTTTCCGGGTGTGTCCCGATGGTGTCCTGGTGATGTCCGGTGTTTCGTCAGTCACCAACTGTGACAATCGGACAAGCCTTGACAGATCTGAAATTTGGGGTTGCATAGAAAGAGGGCAACACTACTTTAGTATTCCGGTCCATGCACGCATGAGCGAGGCCCAGTTCTCAGACACTGGCAAGCAAGAGAGCCGTGGAGATTCCGGAGACGGGATTTGAGTTTTGCGTTGGGACTTGTGCAGTGGTACTATCTCAACAGAAGACGATGCCCCAAAGTGAAACAATCGGCTACTGAAGAACTGTGGCCCTTTCCCGCTTCCCTGGCGATGTGAGTAGAAGCAAAGCGGCCTAAACCTATTGAACACCAACACTGCAAAACGATAAGCAGTCGAAAGCACAACAATACCCCGAAATGGGTCAAGCATTGTATCACCCCCTTTTCATACAACCCCACTTGGCACGCACAACGCGGCCAAGCTTCCTGGCACTTGCCTACCTGTGAGAGGCACAGCTACAGTGAAATCTGTGCCATTCATTGTTGCTCCTCTGGCCTCAAAAAGACCATCGATCCAAGCATAGCATTGAACGATTTTCCTGAAGTTTTTTGCCTACCCTGACTGCATTTGTTTTGCTTCCGGACCAAAAAGGCATGGAGCAACTTTGGCGGAGGACTGCCCCGAGGCGGGCAGTCTTCGGCCAAGGCGTTCAGCAAGCTTCAGGGGCGTTCATCGACATGTTCGATCCACAAGACAGTTTCTCGTGAAGGCTCCGCCAGATGAGGGGTTTTGGCTACCGCACGTGGAACAAGATCCTGGCAATGACTGAGACGCAGGTGTGCACCAGTAAATATGATATGTCCATCTAAGGAGAGATCAATCCAATGCAGCAGCCTTCCATTGCGCGGGGATGCCAGATCCCAAGCGCATGATCTCTGTCA